CCCGACAGTGCACCCGACAGTTCACCCGACAGTTCACCCGACAGTTCACCCGACAGTGCACCCGACAGTTCACCCGACAGTTCACCCGACAGTTCACCCGACAGTGCACCCGACAGTTCACCCGACAGTTCACCCGACAGTTCACCCGACAGTGCACCCGACAGTTCACCCGACAGTTCACCCGACAGTTCACCCGACAGTGCACCCGACAGTTCACCCGACAGTTCACCCGACAGTTCACCCGACAGTGCACCCGACAGTTCACCCGACAGTTCACCCGACAGTTCACCCGACAGTGCACCCGACAGTTCACCCGACAGTTCACCCGACAGTTCACCCGACAGTGCACCCGACAGTTCACCCGACAGTTCACCCGACAGTTCACCCGACAGTGCACCCGACAGTTCACCCGACAGTTCACCCGACAGTTCACCCGACAGTGCACCCGACAGTTCACCCGACAGTTCACCCGACAGTTCACCCGACAGTGCACCCGACAGTTCACCCGACAGTTCACCCGACAGTTCACCCGACAGTGCACCCGACAGTTCACCCGACAGTTCACCCGACAGTTCACCCGACAGTGCACCCGACAGTTCACCCGACAGTTCACCCGACAGTTCACCCGACAGTGCACCCGACAGTTCACCCGACAGTTCACCCGACAGTTCACCCGACAGTGCACCCGACAGTTCACCCGACAGTTCACCCGACAGTTCACCCGACAGTGCACCCGACAGTTCACCCGACAGTTCACCCGACAGTTCACCCGACAGTTCACCCGACAGTTCACCCGACAGTGCACCCGACAGTTCACCCGACAGTTCACCCGACAGTTCACCCGACAGTTCACCCGACAGTTCACCCGACAGTGCACCCGACAGTTCACCCGACAGTTCACCCGACAGTTCACCCGACAGTTCACCCGACAGTTCACCCGACAGTGCACCCGACAGTTCACCCGACAGTGCACAAAAACAGCACTCATCAAGAGAACAGAAACGACGAGACAGGTATGACTCACAGTTTTTTTTATATATTCTGGCAAACCCTCAAATCTTATTTAGCTTTCTTCTGTAAGAGGATCCCACTCAAAAAATAATTCTGTCTGACGAGTTCGAAAGTACGAAACTCAGAGTTGCAGTGAATCATGTGTGTTTCAGTTTAGTCAGTTTGAATTGTAATATCTCATAATTATGTTTTTTTTTAGTAAGAACTAGGTTTCTATGACTCTTGGACAAAAGTGAAATTCCGAGACTGTTCCCCATGCATGTGACCTCTTTTGAAGTCACCGTTCGTTTCATACTGATCAACTTATCAGAATCGTTGGTTGAAACATGTAACGCGCTTGTCACTATTAGTCTACCCCATTGATTCTACTTTCTTAAATTTCTTTTTTTTTTCTTTTTATTTTTTTTCGTCTTTTAACACTTATGAATGCATGGGCAACATAGAATGATTTAACTCATCACCAATTCCATTAAAAGGACATGAAATTCATGTTCACATATTCATATTAATATTGAGGTTGAACTTGAAACTTGAACTTGAACTTGAACTTTATTTTTATTTAGACACGGTAAATCTATCAGATAAGTAATAATATCATTGCAATCTATTATTACAATTACAATCTCAGTTTAATCTATATAAACATGATCTAAAATTTAAAAGTGAAATATAGAAAAAAAAAAAGAAATTCTGCTTTACATAGATGCCGTGTGCGTTTTGTCGATTCAGACAAAGAAATCGCGACTACCATTTCGAAAAGATTGAAGTGATTTTGCTTGCCGCAATTCAGGGGAGAAGCTATTCCAGATAACCGCACCGTTATAGCGAAAGCTATTTTTCAGGAAATTGGTGCGGAACAATGAAACAGCTAGTTTGTTTTCAGAGTTCCTTAGAATATATGGAGGATCATATTTAGTGAAAAGAGAACCAAGATAGTCGGGCGCAAGGCCATTTAAAGATTAATAGACCATGGTGGCCACTTGTATTTGTCGCTGAGTATCTAACCGTCTCCAGTTAAGTTGCTCAAAAAGAGGATCAGCGCTTGTGTCCTAACTGGAGAAGGTCAGAATACTGGCAGCCCCGTTTTGCAACTTTTGGAGCTTACTCGAAAGATCCTTGTTACAATGCCCCCAGACCTCGCTGCAGTAATTAAAGTACGGTTGAACTAAGGCATTGAAAACGGACTCAAGCGTGGTTCGGTTAACAAAAGGCCTACAACGTTTAATTGCTCCAATGCCCGATGCAATTTTCTTGGCTATTTTTTTAATTTGCATATTCCATGAAAAGTTTTCGTCTATATGCACACCCAGAGATTTAACCGAGCTAACTTGTTTAATTATGTCACCACCTATGATTAGTTTAGGGGAAGTATCGTAAGCACCTATCCTTTGCCGCGATTTAATTAACATGAATTCAGTTTAGATGAATTTAGATTCAATTTGTTTGCAGTGAGCCATGTATTAACATTGGATAGGTCATGATTCATAACATCATTGATCATTTCTATGTTGTCACTGGCAAAGGTCAGGTGAGTATCGTCGGCGTACATACGTGCAACTGAATTAGACAGGCAATTAGGAAGATCATTTATGTATAAAACGACAAGCAAAGGTCCTAGAATTGTTGCTTGCGGAATTCCACAAGTGAGAACTTAACTAATTGAGAGCGAACAATTTACGAAACATTGTTGATTGCGATTATCTAGGTATGACCTAAACCATTTATAAGCGATACCGCGGATACCATATTCGAATAATTTAGACATAAGAATTGTATGGTCAACGGTATCAAAAGCCTTTTTAGGTCGAGAAAAACAACTGCATTTATATTGCCTTTATGAATGTTGAAGGCCCAATTGTTTGTGGCCTCCAACAAGGCAGTAACAGTCGAATAGAGCGAACGAAAACCAGATTGCTTGCTGGAAACCAAATTGTTTTCAGTGAGATAACCGTAAAACTGGTCCTAAATGATACACTCAAACACCTTAGCTGCTATAGGGACGATAGAAATTGGGCGATAATTGTTTAAGTCGGAGTGATCGCCCTCTTTGAGAAGTGGAATAACCTTTGCGCATTTCCACTCCTGAGGGAAAACACCTTATCTGATGGACTGATTAAAAATAGAACACATAGGATCAGCTATCAGATCGGCGCACTCCCTAAGAAGTCGCAAAGATATCATATCTAAGCATCTGGCTTTCGATTTACAAGCTTAGACAAAAGTGAGAACACTTAAGAAGAATTACTACATTTTAACTCAAAACGTTTGTCAATTCCCTCAAGATAATGTAGGTGTGATGGACCATTATTAGAATAAATCTGGCTAGCAAGCTTGGGTCCAATAGAAGAAAAGTGATTGTTGAAGGCATCGGTCAGTTCAGGAGGGCCGTAAATAGAGTTACCGTTCCTTTTGATTTCTTTCATGGAACAATTATTAGTTTTCCTCGACGTGAGCTCATTTACAATCCTCCAGGTCTGGCGCGAATTGCTCTCGTTTTCATCTAATGCCCTTTTATAATAGAGCTCTTTTGCTTTTTTAGTTGCGTTATTAACTAGGTTGCGACATTTTTTAAATTGTAGCCAGTCATTAGCATCCTTAGAACGCGATGCTTTCAATTTAAGAATATCTTTGTCATGCATTAGTTTCTTTTAGTAAGATGCAATCCAAGGTGACTTTGAGGCGCGCGCCCGTTTTACATGAAGTGGGGCATGCTTGTTTACACATTCCAGGAATAGTTGTTTCCATGCAGCCCAAATTAAATTAGGATCAGAATAGCTTTCGATGCTACTCCAATCCTGTTGACATATATCGTTACGAAAGTGATCAGTGTTAAAATTCTTAAAATTCCTATATCTCAGGGTACTATGCTGATTCGTTGTCGATTCTATAGAAAATTTACGAAAAGCGTAAACTAAACTGTGATCGCTGATGCCTGTATGTGAGACCCCTGAGCAGACGACCCTATCTGGAGTATTTGTAAAAATTAGATCAATTAGAGTACATGATTTGTCGGTAATTCTAGTATGTTCGGTTATTAACTGGTCAAGGCCGTAAACTTCAGCAATATCATATTCAGTTTCTGCCAACTTTCCTCGACAGCAAAGAACTGTACTGATCTGCAACGATGAGGTCAAACAATCAGCGGTGTTTTTACGATCGACCCCGATGGCTAAGGTACATTTGATATCTATTGCGATCAGACAAAGACCGGTGGAGGTTGGACAGTATTCCAAAGGAGAATGAATCGATCCGTTAATTTCAACCGCACCTTGGATGACTACAAACGTGGCTTCGGAAATTTCCTTATTGGTGAATTTTGGCTCGGACTTGACAAGATCTACCGTCTGACACGAAATGAGCGAGAAAACAAGCTGCGAGTGGACCTTGGAAGGAGAGACATCAAAACTGTTTACGCTGAGTACGCGAGATTTGCCATTGGGGACGAGAATAGTAACTACACACTAAACCTTGGCAATCTTTGGGGTAAGTTCGGCTCTTAGTAAGTTATATATTTGTCAAAAGTCTCCATGCCTTTACTTTGCAAAAAGGTGTTGTCCAGACGCCTGTATTGTGTTGTAAGTTCTGTTAGTAGTGTCAACGTACCTTGTACATGAATGTTGCTGTGATGAGATTTACAATTGATCTGTGTCTTCATGACTCCCCGATAGCTTAATGGCAAAGCACCCGCCTGGTACACGAGGGTTGGAATCTATAGCATCCTTGAGCTCTAAAATACCTTGATCGAGGTCACCAAAGCCTTAGTTCTGCCTGTGGCACAACAAAACATCCGCTCTCGCTTCATCAGATAAAAAAAAAAAAGGAGCTCCACACTTCTTAAGTTTTGATATGATTAAAGAGTTAATAATGAGACGAATGCAATATTTCTTCTAGATAAGACTGTCGACAGAGACTCCCTTACACCCCATAATGGCACCAAGTTTGGCACCGCTACTACACGTTGTAATCTAGTAAGTGCTGGAGGCTGGTGGTACAATGAAACGACATGTTCTGGCCACTCCAACCTTAATGGTGCTTATGTGAAAACCGGAGACGGTAAAATTCATTGGGGATTTCTAGATTCCAACGATGCTGATTACGGCAGCACTCCCTCGACATCTGAGATGAAAATAAGACAAGCAAATTATTCTTAAAGCTATCTTATCCAACAGTTCGTCCACCAATAATTTGTTACTTTCAATGATTTAAAAAAACCAAAGATAAAAAAGTCCATATCAAAGGACAAATCGCTAGCTCTCTAAGGCTAATACTTTTTTAAAGATATTGTTAAACTAGTTATGTCTAATTTGGTGAAGGTTCTACACAGTGACGTGATATCTCATGTGTATATTTGGTTATGTCGTCAGAACAAAGGGAAATATTTACGCCATGTTTCTACCGTTATTTTTGCCGTCTCGTGGAATTGCTAGTTGTCTCTTAAAAACAGACTGTTGTTAGTTCGAATTCGCGAAATCGTTGAACTGGAATAGGGATTTTTAGCTTCTCGTTAATGTTAGCCTTGTCTTTAGCAGATTTTAAACAATCGTTTGTTCTGACCGGGTTGGCTGATACTCAACTGATCAGCTTGTGCAATAGAGACTCTGCAATATTTATCATTCTTTTCGACAAGAAATATGTTAACAAGACGTGGTTTGTGGGGGAAATTTAGAGAGCCAGAGTACTTCCCAGGATAGCCTTATGTCAAAAACAATGTTAGGGTTAATTCTTTCATGTTTATACTCTCGTGACATATAAGATATCGTAGTTTATCGCAAGCATTCCCCAAGCGTGCAAATTTAAAGTCATTTTCGCAATTATCCAAAATTTTATTCAACACAACTGAGTCACGTTCTAATGATTTTAGTCGATATCTATAAATTGTGTTGCACTGCTTCCTTCTCTTCCATCCATACTCGAAGAGGTTTATGAAGAGTTAACGTATCCTCGTCTCTTAACTGGAAGTATTCCTCAACTAAAGAAATGAGCCGTTTTAGGAATTTAAAATATTTCATATGTTGATCTTACAACTGCGAAATCCACTCAATAAAATCTAATTAGCTCAAGAGAGATTTGATGGGCAAAATAGGATCAATTAATAATTCTGTTTATTTGATCATTGCAAGTCTCGACCACCTCATGTCAAAATGTACAACGTGAATCTCGTTACCTCAATTATAACAGCGATAAATTTCAACAGACTTTTACAAAATTCTTAAGTTTTGAAAACGTGTCGTAAAATCACGAAGGGTTTCTTAGCTTGAGGCAATGGTTATGAAATGACGAAGTTTGCACGATGCAATGATCTTACAGTCAGTGCTCGAGGACCCTATTCAGCAGAAAGAAACCCAGAAGGAAAAGACCTAGAATATGAATTCCCCTTGCAGTCCTTTTACCTTGCTGCTTCTTTAAAGTAAATAATGGTGAATACAAGTGTATCCTTTTATATAAGAACGGAAATGTCGGTGGCCATAACGCAGACACGCTGACAGTGTCCGTGACCTTGACTCATTCGGGCTCATCTCTGACGAACTGTAGGTGATGATGGATGGTCCGAAGTCTTTTGATATTTTCAATAAGTTGGACTTTAAGTGAGCTATCTATAAGCATTGTTAAACAATACAGCTATTGATGTGATTGAAAAACTTGAACTTCAATAGATCGTAATTTCTATATTTTCAATGTGTTAAACATTAAGACCTAGAAAAAGGTAATTAGAAGCAGGCACATTAATCTGACGAAAGCTCTAGAGTGAGTAGAGCTCTTAACTGTGCACTTAGGTGAGTAATCTGCTTTAGGGACTTCCTTGAGATGCAAGCAATGTCCTCAGCATATTTGCTACGTATTACCTGTAATAGCCAGGGAGGGGGTGGGATTAAGTTTTTTAAGTAAGGTAATTAAGAAATATTTAGGAAAACTGTTCATAATTCGTGCAAAAGCCCTACAACCCAAAATCATATAATGTTTCGATCAACATTTAAATTCTCTTCTGACTCAGGCGCTTGAACACAAAAGCACGCTAAGTTTGAGAAACGTTAGGCCTTGGGTCAAAACCGAAGGCAATGTGAGTGCGGAACGTAACTCGCAGGACGTCGGTAAACCCAAGTAAAAACAGAAAATTATTTGAGAAACGGTAATTACAATGATGTTAACGTTGTTCAAGACGAAAAAGATTTTAAAGAAATTTATTGAAATGAAACCATGAGACGTTAATCAGGACTTGGAGATAACGAAGCGATGAGAACAGGCAGATTAAACGATGTACAAAACAGTAGAAAGTGGTTTCGAAAACTAAGAAATAAATACAACGAAAAAATATTATTGGATCATTATCAATAGCTGGGAACAGACCCTTATATAAAACTACCATGACATTTTATTCAAAGCCCCATTATGTAAATCATCATCGCTACATAGCGACAATATAGAGGTACAAATATAAAACCCTGGATGTCAAGTAAGGTTCTGACCTTCACGATCGACGATCGATATCGACATCTGCGCGCAGACCCCTAGATATAACATTTTACCATCCCAATAAACAACTGGACACAGGTTTAACATGGATGTGACATTTTAAGTTCAATTAATCAATATCAACATCTGGGCACAGAATACGCACTGTAAATAAAGAGTTACGATCAAAACAGACCCCTAACCGTAAGATACTAAAATAAGTTGCAACATCTGCCTACAGCTCATCATGTAAGACACATTGATTATAATCCATGGATGTAAGAAACAACGAACAATATCAACATCTGGGCACAGCCCACTCGTGTAAGACACACTGATATAAACCC